GACATTTGCAAACCTAAAAAGAAAACAGACATGAGAACCGTATTGTCAGGCTTCCTCAGAAGAAATGTGTCTGGAATTCTCAGGGAAAATGGTGTAATAAAATAAAATTATATCAGTCTACTGCTAATGTTATTACTATTATTCAAGTTTTCCAAATTTAATGATTAATTGACAATTTCTGCAAAAGTGAAAAGGACCTAAGATCAAACGATGGAGGCCGTCACTGCCTACATTCTGAAACTTACCCAGAAGTAATTTGCAGAATGTAGGTTTGTGGTATCAGGTACATTTAGAAGTTATGAATTTCTGTAAAAAAAAAATTGAGATGGTCCAAAACAAAGTACTCTCTTTGCAATGCTAGTACTAGAAACATTTTATAATATTCACAAAAAAAGTACATTTTGAGCACCTACTATTAGAAATTACTGGTATACAAGTGTACTAAACATGAGATGTTTACTAGATAAATTGAGTGGTTCATAAAGACATCTAATGTCTTAAGTGAGAATGTTTTCAAGGATGTGTCCCAGAATGATTTGCAAAATTACCAGATGATAATAATAAGCTAGTGGTAAACTATTATATAAGTAGTAAATTATTTTTTTTGTTATTTAAACTATAGCATAGGAAGGCCTTTTCCCTTCAAACTTAAATCAAAACTTGATTGACCTCAAGTTTTCTTCATAATTATTTCAATTAAGTATATTATCACATAAAGGCAGCTCTCCTGAAACATCCTAACTTTTCCTAATATCAATGCAAGACAACTGAGCAATTCTGGATCCAGAATTCCTAAATAATGTTTCAGTCAGGATAACCTGATTTGGGATGATAACATATTTCTGTGCCTAATGCTTAACTGAGAAGAACAGAAAAGCAAAAGATAGGTGATGAAAATCCTTTTTTCCTACATCTTCATAACTTGGTTGAACATGATAAATAGGCTAGCTTAATGATTTGGGAATTATCAGTAATAATACTTCTCCTAAAGGAATATTAAGATGATTTATAACAGATTTGAACCTTGATTTCTAGCTTCCTCTGTGACTGTGTACAAATTTATGATTGACTCTCTTCAAATTTCTACCTCAGCAAGATCCATTTCTACACACAGTGGATTTCAGCTTTGTAGTTCCCTAAGCAGTTAGTACCTGTCTTTATACACATACATTTGTATTGTTGAAGAAACAAATTGCAGTCACCTACTGCACTTTACTGAGGGCTTAGATCTATGTTAAAACATCACCCATGCTTATTACTAGCTGTGGTTTGTCAAAGTTACTTAAAATGGTCTGTGTCTATGTTTCTAGCTTTTATGAAAAGGGGGTAATATAACTGACCTCTTAGGGTTTGGGTGAGAATTATATATATTAATAAATGCAAAACACTTAGACTAATACCTGGCATATAATACACACTCAATAAATGTTAACAGACAATATTATTGTATCATTTATCAATTTGAATTTTGTCTATACCATGGAACTAATGGTTTTCTTCAAGGATGAAATGCATGTACTCAGTAACTGGTAATTTCTGTTCCAAATTCTTATTAAAATTTATTTCCCAAACTTCAGTCATTTGCTTATTGTTTGTGGTTTTTTCATATTTCATATACTTAAGTGACTTTGTTAATAGAAAATATATTTTATCACTAATAAATGTGATCTTTTTTTATACTACACCTTAAGATTATTTAAATAATTAAAATTAAAACATTCATTAGCTAAAATAATCTCTTGTGCCATTGGTGATATGTACACAATACACTGTGCAACATTATCTCATAATAAAGCTTTCTACAGGTGACTAGAAGGAAATATTTAGAGGATAGTGGGCCACTAGGCCCACCAGAATCTGATAATGGTAGGACAACAAAAGATGTCATGGGCGTGGCCATAGAAGAGTGATAAGACTGACTTGTGAATGACCAGGCACCCATTCTTCAATACTATACAGGCATTTTCTTGCCACTGCTTTCTCTAACATTTAAAGCTTGAGGTACTTTGCAAACAAGTACAATGACTTTTACCCCAAGGCTAGAAATCCAGCAAGGTTTTGGAAAAATTGAACAAGAATACTCCTATCCCAGAACCCTTCCACCCTTTTCAGTTGAAGATGATATACATATTAAATTTTCACTGAAGATTATAAATTTTACCATAATGAGTTGCAGTTAAGAGTAGTAAGTTTTATTCCTGACTGGTGTGGCTCATTGGTTGGGCATCATACAGCAAAGAGAAATGTTGCCAGTTCAATTCACAGTTGGGGCACATGCCTGAGTTGTGGGTTCATGCCTGATAAGGGCAGGTAGGAGAGTCAACTAATCAGTATTTCCTTCCCTAACTTTCTCCCTCCTTTCCCCTCTCCTATACATATATACATACATACATAAATACATACGTAAAATCTTTGAAAGAAAGAATAGTAACTTTTAAATGTATGATGATATTAAGATAAATTATTGGCTCCTTAAGAGGTTTAAATTCCAAATATATTTATATCCCCCCCCACTAAGAAGCTAAAATATCAATGAATAACATGGGTGAAGTTTTGGTTTCTAACTCTCACATCCCTTATGTAAGACTTTTCAGCATTGATTAAGCATCAACTATAGTTACTTTATTTTAAGTAATTCTATCAGACATAAAATTCTTTACAATAGATGATGGTTTCAAGAAACATAAGTTTACTTCTTACCACATAACAGTTAGAAGGGAGTTTTCTGTAAGAACTCTTACTTTTGGCAGCTTTCCTCTAAGTATAAAATTTTCCCAAAATAGAAATTTTATTAATTAAAATAAAATGAGTTTTTCTGGCCTGTGTTGGCTTCTCTTGACATTAAAATATTTTTCATCTTTCATCTTACTCCTCCTGTAAGGCTTCATTCAATGTTCTCTCCAGCCAGCATGGGAGGAAAGAGGAAACACAGTGGGGAAGCACTCACTGGTTGATGATAGTCTTATGGAGAGAGGCTCTTTTTGTTTCTGTTCACTCTCCATTGGTTTAAACTACTCCATCCCAACTGAAAGGCAAGCTGAGAAATGCGTCTAGATATGTACCCAGGAAAGGAGAGGACAGAATGTGGTGAGTGACCATTAGGCTCTGCTACAATTTCCTCTCTCATATACCAGTTTGCACCTGTCTTCCAACCCTCAGTAATAGATTTCATCAGCTTTCTCAAAGGAGACAACAAAAAGCCCCAACCATTGACTTTATCCAGTTCCAATTCCAAAGTCAGTGGTGATAAGGAGCTTTCTCCACCAGATCAAATTTCTCTCAAGGAGGTTAAGGAGTTAGAATTTGAAAAATAAGCTCTTTGTCTTGCTTTTTCATTATATCCAATAGACGATGCTGAAGCAAAAACTTGAAAACTAGAAAAAATAAACAAACTAACCAAAAAAGCAACCATCTCATTTGTAAAGAAAGAATGATAAATGGCCAATAGTCATCAAACCAAGATGATAATTAAACCCTACTAGGCAGGCCCTGGGAGACTCGTCCTGGTGGCTCCTGATTGTCCTGGCTCTCCTTTCTCAGAAATTTCCTGTGTCCATTGATTTCTAGGGGTTCTGGCTCTGCATTCTGGAGGTTCTTCCCTCCCCAATGTCCTCCATCGGTCATATCTGAAGTAGGCATCAGAGAGACTAGCTTCCTTGAATTTTGTACTGCCTTTGCAGTCCAGTTTTTGTGAAGCAAATATGGGATCCAAGGGCTGTCCATAGTCATGCTGTTTTGGGGCCAGGTTTCTTGTTTCTTTGGTAGTACAATACCCTCCAAATCTTAGTAAACATTGATCTTATCATTTCAGTGCCAGCAACCAGAGGAAAATACATCCAAAGTTCTTTTTGAGACATAGTCCTCAAGCCTGTCCTTCTTTTGTAATAAATAGTGACCCTCCTCTCTCCCCGATCCTGTCCCACCCATTCCCACCCTCTTCTTGCAAAATATAAAATTCCTGTTTAGTAAAATATGATAGTACTATTGAGAACTTTTAAGTTATCAAATTGTACAATATTTAATTATAAATACCTTCTCTTTATGTGTTTTATTAGAGAATCAGTCTCTGGTGCTTCTTTAGAAGAAAGAACAAAAAAGCATTTAAAAATTACTTTTAAAAGCTCTTAATCATGTGACTGCTGTATAATTAAATATATATGGATAGTAGTGGGAACAAGAAAATTAATATACCATTGACTCTGAAAAAGCTGAGTTCACATCATATGATAAAGTGTTTCAATGTTAAATATTTTGTTCTAGTTATTGCAGTAATGCAAATCACCCTGAAATATAGAGGTATAAAACAATAATATTTTATTCTGTTAGAATATGGTTAAAAATTCAGATAAGTCATAGCAGAAACAGCTTGTCTGCACCACACAGTGTTTTAGGTCTCTGCTGGGAAGACTTGAAGCCTGGGGTTGACTAGATGGCTGGGAGAAGAAATCACCAGGAGATCTTTATGTTCATGTGATTTATGGTTGATATTGGCTGCCTTCTGGGTCATGAGCTAGTCTGTCAGCCAGAAAATGTAGAGTCCTCTACCTATGATCTTTACCTGTAGGATTATTTGGGCTTCCTCACAACATGGTGACTAGTTTTCAAATGTGAGTGTTCAAAGAGAACATGGCATTTTTATGTCCTAATACTTGAAGTCATAATCATTTCTGCTGTACTTTTTGTTTGAAGCAAGCAAAAAGGTCTGTCCTGCTTCAAAATGAAAAACATAGATGTTACCACTTGTAGAAGATTACATGGTAGAAAAGAGCATGTGGAATATGAGATATTATTGCAGCCAGTCATCTTTGAGTATACATTTCATTCAAATTAGTCAATCTCTAAAAGATTTATTTCCTATTTTATATCTACTTTATTCACCATCTTGAATTAATTTGAATATGATTAATTTCATGTGTACTCACTAATTTGTAGTCTTTAAATCACTTGTATCTTGCTTTCAAAGAAAAATGCAATAATATCAACTGACAATATTTTTGTAGATATCCCGGCACAGAAGGAATCATTCACAGCATGTCTTGAAAGATGTCATTCCTCCATTGGAACAATTGGTAAGTGATACTTTCATTTCAAAATTGTATTCTTTACTGCTACAGAGTGAATTACCTCAAAACTCAGCAACATAAAACAGTATTACCTCATGATTTCGTTGGGTCAGGAATCAGCATGGCTTAGCAGAGTCCCCTAACTCAGAGTCCCTCAAAAGTTTACGTCAAGGTTTGAACCTGAATTGGGGTCACATCTGAGGCTTGACAAGGGAAGTATCTGCTTTCAACTCATGTACATGGTTGTTGGCAGGGCTATTCCTCCAGGGCTACCAGCCAGAGACTTCTCAGTTACCTGCTACATAGACTTCTTCAGCATGGCAGCTTGCTTTTCAAAGCACAGAGCAAGCTGAGCAGGCAAGGGAGTCTACTAACAAGAGAGAAGTCAAAATCTCTTGTAACCTAATGATGGAAATTATATCTCAGCAACTTTGCCACATTCTTTTGGTCAGAATCCAGTCTACATTCAAGGAGAAGGTGTTACCTAAGACTGGGTATAACAGGAATCAGAGATTTTCGGGGCCGGTGGGACTTGTGGAAAATTTTGACAGTTTTATTAAGGAAAAATCAATCTCTTATTACTAGATTCCAAGTCCATGAGAGTAGTTTTTTTCTTTTTTTAACTTTCATTTATTGTTGTATCCAAATGATCAGAAGAGTTCCTGGAGCATTATAAATACCACGAATGAATAAAATATTGAAAATATTTTAAAAACATGAATATCTACCTGGCTGGTATGGCTCAGTGGATTGAGTGCCTACCTGCAAACCAAAGGGCTGCCAGTTTGATCCCCACTCAAGGCACATGCCTGGGTTGTGGGCCCTATACCCTGTAGGGAACATACCAGAGGAAATCACACACTGGTGTTTCTATCCCTCTCTTTCTCCTATCTTTCCCTACTCTCTATCAGTCCATTGGCTCAGAGGATACTGCACAGTGATGACTTTATTCCCATCTGTCTCCTACTATTCCATTCTGGTTATCTTTGAACTTTCTCATTCTTAACACCAAAAATATTTTCTTGATTCAGTTATCTTATTTTCTTTTGCTTTGCATATTCTAGATCACTCATCTCCATTTTAGCTACTGCTCCATTACTCTCCACTGATTTAGAATAAAAGTTCCTTACAAGAATTGTCTACCTTTACTGTTGTTAATTTCTATTCTTGATCAAATTCCATTTAGGTTTTTATTCCAATCTCTCACCTTCTATTAAGGTCATCAATTGTTTTCATATTGCTAAATCCATTTGTAAAGTCTCAAGTTTTCTCCTCAGTAGACCTACCTAGTATTTAACCCAATTGATAACTCTCTTAAAAAAAAACATTTTTCTCACATGGCTACTAATAAACCACTTTTCATGGATCTCCAGTTAATTAAATGGCTACTCATTTTCTACCTTTTAGCTAATTCTTCTTAACTTTGTGGCTCAGTTCTTAATTTTTCTTCTCTTTCTTTATATGCATTCGCTAGAGCATCTCATTCAGTTTTATGGCTTTATACATTGTTATCCTAACTAGTTTTCCATGATAGACCACTGCCCTAAACTTCAGTACTATATATTGTGACATTTTCACTTAGATGTCTAACATATATTTCAAACTTACCACATCCCAAACTAATTCTGATTTTATTCTTAATCCAGTCATCATCATTTTCCAGGTGCTAACATCATTTTCCAGGTGCTTCGGTCCCTGTTACTCTATCTTTAAAAAATAGACCAGATACTAATTTTAAAGTTCACTTCTCACCACCTTTATGCTATGTCATGTCTCACTCGGTTTACTACAATAACCTCATAATGAATGTGCCCACTTTAACCCTTGCTCTCTACTTTTTATTTTTAACACAGCAGCCAAAGTGAGCTGGCTAAGATACAGATTATGTCATGTCACACCTTGGCTCAAATTCCTCTCTGGCTTCCCATCCCTCCCCAGGGTAAAAGCTGAAAAACATCCAGTGGTTCATCCGATCCTATGGGTCCCAGTTACTTCCCTGACCTCATAGTTCCCTTTCTTTCTTCTCCTGGCTTATTCTGCTCCAGCCACGCCGACCACCTTACTTCTTCCACAGGGTCATTAAAACTGTTTCTGTTTTTGCTTTTGTTTTGTTTTTTTATGTGCCTGGCACAAAATAATTCACTTGTTGCCCAGAAATTTGTAAAACTAATTACTTCATTTGTATTGTATCTCTATTCAACTATCACCTTCTAAGGTAGGTCTTTCCTAACCTCTCTTAAAAACAAAAACAAAAAAAAAAGTTCCTCCCCACCATTTCCATCCACACTCCTTTTCTCTGATCCTAATTTAATTTTCTCCATAGAACTTACAACCATGTAGCATACTATAAATGTTATTTGTATGTCATTTCATTAGAATATTCTGTGTAAGTGGAGATACTGTCTTCTATTTTCATAACTCTATTTCCATGCTTATAATAATTGCTAGAACATGATAAGAACTCAGTAAATATGGTAAATAAGTGCACAAATCAGACAGATAATAGCTTTGGGTTTTTGCTTCAAAGCCTGGAATACACAGATCTATTCATGTATACATTTTTCATTATCTCATCCTACCTCTTGAACTGCTAATTAGTCATTTATTCGTGCATGTCTCAGTGTCATCTCAGAAGTGAAATCTCCTAAACTGAACCCATCATTGCCTTGGTTCCAAACTGATTCCCAATTGCACTGGGACCATCAGTGTTAGTAGCAAACATTTATCAAGGCTGAGAACACATCTTTGGAGCCTGTATTTTCTCTATGACTCTTCACATAAGTTACCACTAATGCTTCAGATCTCAATCCCTTAACTGACCCCCTGTACTCAGTGCTACACAGTCTCAGCGCTCTCCCACACCAACCATCTTTAAACAATACCTATGTTATTCCATTCGTCTTCTCAAAATGTTCAACAGCTCTCTATTTTCTTTAGCATCAAGCCTCATGGTCTCTGATTTACCTTATTTATTATCTACCCCCAAATACATACCCTCAAGCCAGCAATAGTAACATGATTAAGACATAGCTGTTATTCTGAAGGAGCTTAAGTTTTCTGTAATAATTATAGTTTCTTCATCCCAGCACTCTTTTGTTGTTCACTCTTATTTCATGGGTAATAGACTTGTTTCATGGCTAGACTGCAAATGCTCTGAAGTTAGGGGTCATGACTTGTATTTTCTTTATTATATCATACTTCCCCTTACATTGCTTTTGGCTTTTTCAGTGTTTCTTCAGAAAAGAGATGTTTGTCAATTGATTTAATATTAGGATATTATAGGTTTATTAGAATAATATTATTGATTACAGATAATAAATATATGCCTGTTTTTCATAGTGAGAGCCATTTTTTCAGTTAAAGTAGATATAACAGTATCTTCTTTTCATAATCAATTTTTCATGTCTTAACTTAGAAAACATTTATTTTTTCTAGCAAGCATTTCTCTGATTCCTCAAATTAGAATCCTTGGCCCTTTTTTATTCTGCCTCCCTATAGCAGCTTCATTTTTTCTTCATTGTGTTGAATTTTATTATTTAAGCATGATTTTGTAAGAAGTTTTTGGTGGATATAATCATTTTTTAAACTGAATTATTGGGGTGAGACTGGTTAATGAAAGTATATAGTATTCAGTGGTACAATTCCATGATACATCATCTGTATATAGCATTGTGTGTTCACCACCCAAAGTTGAATCTTTTTGTCACCATGTGTTTGATCATTTTTATCTCTCCATTCCCCTTCCCTCAGGTAAATCACCATAACATTGTTTGTGTCTATGAGCTTTTTATTTGTGTATTTGTTTTGTTTGCTCACTTGTTACTTTCAGTTTATATGCCACATATGAGTGCAATCATATAGTTTTTAACTCTTTCTGTCTGACTTACTTCTTTTAGCATGATATTCTGAAGGACCATCCATGGTGTCACAAATGGCCTTTCTTATGGCTGAGTAGCATTCTGTTGTATATATGTACCACACCTTTATCCATTCATCTGTAGGACACTTTGGTTGTTTCCATGTCTTCACCACTGTGAATAATGCTACAATGAACCTATGGGTGGGAGAGGTGTCTGCTCAGGTCCTCTGCTCACTTTTAATTGGATTGTTTGTTTGTTTGGTATGTTTGAGTTGTATGAGTTCTTTATATGTTTTGGATATCAACCCCTTTTTGGAGCTGTTTGCAAATATCTTCTCCCTTTTGGTTGATTTCATTTTTGTTTTATTGGTGGTTTTTTTCACTATCTCTTTGCTGAATGATATGCTATTTGAAGGGAGGGCTATGCCTCACTCACTGTTTTACTACTAGGACTTTACATAAGACACGGCACCATGTGACTGTCCAATAAATAAAGAAGAAATTGCATTTTTCCCATAAATTTGGCTTATAAAACAAATAAAGTACATATAAATCATTATGAAGAGAGGTATATTTTAAATTTAGCAAAAGAAAATGTTTGCTTTGAAGTACTTAATGTAATATGGCAGACGTTAGACTTAAAACAGAGCTACATGAGTCTGTAACATAAATATACATGTGCAGTTATATATAATTACATACATGCAAATATATGTACAATTATATTTGAACAGTGCTTTAAGGTGTCTGCAACATTTTACAAATATTAATTACAATTTTTAAAAATTCAAATTATAGTTATTATTCAAATTTAACCAATAACTAATAGTATATTTGCACTATATTTACATATCAAAAATAGTCTAATAACAAAAAATGTAGAATATTCAGAAATGACTTTCTTAATTTACCTTCTTAACATTGAGTTTATTGGTTAGTTTATTGGCCTATAGTTGGCTGTGTTGACTCTGTAGCCTCAATTCTTTATAAATAAAGTTCATTTTGAATATCCAATATTATGGATTGGTATATTAATAAATAACACACCTACATCTCCAGTACTCTTTTTTAGGTCAGAGAGGTGGCATTGGCACCACTAAATAGAAGGGAAAATTTGTTAAGCTCTAGTTTGTAATCTCTCTCAATC